CGCCCGCCGCGCTCCGCTCCGCCCTCCGGTCCTCCCTGCGCTCGGCTCCCGGCTCCGGCCCCCTCCCTCCTCCCTCTTCCCGCCTCCTGCCGCCTCCCGGGAGGACTATGCGCCCGCGCCCGCCCGGGGACTGGGACAGAGATGGGGTCGCGGAGCAAGTGGGTCTCCACCGTCCTCGCTCTTGAATCCCACACCCCATGATGGGGACCAGGACCCTTCCTCAGGGACATCGCTCCTAGTCCCGCCCCTATTTGGTCTGACTAACCTGGGTCGCCTAGCCAGCTCCTAGGACCCCTGGGCAGCCATGTAGGGTCATCCTGGAGAGGGGGGCGGTTCTCAGGAGGGGTCCAGGAAGGAGGCTTCCTGCAGCCTAACTGGCCCACTGCTGAGCTGAAGGACCCTCCTCCTGGTGGCCACCAAGCCACTGGTTGAGGTGCCTTGGGTTGGTCCAGCAAGTGCCTCTGGGGGAGGTGCCTGCGAGGTCACCAGGGAGCTGCCCTACAGAGGTCACCCTAAAGCCATAGTCACAGGGTCCCAGGGGGAGGGTGGAGGTAATTGGGCAAGGTAAAGTGGCCTGGAGCCAGCAAAAGTCCAAGGAGGCCTGGCAGGGAATGGGTGGGGGCAGGCCTCCTCCCAGACCTTCTGGGGGCATCTAGGAGGTTCAGTCTTGACACCTGGACTGCTGTCTGATGCTAAGTCCTGGGGAAAAGTCCATGTGTCCAAACCTTCCCTCCCCAGGACCTGGTGAGGCTGAGGCACAGGTCGGGGCAGCACCATGGACCCCGGAGCCTAGTGGAACGTGCCTTGCTTTTTCTTATCCTTGGGGACCTGACGTGGCTTTCCACAACTGCAGGGAAGACAGCCTGGGGAGCAGGCCCATGGGGTCAGGGGCAGCAGACTCCATTCAGCCCTATGTCCAGCAGCCAAGGCCAATGGCCCTAACTGGAAACAAGTCAGCTTCCTATTGGAAGTGGCGCATGGGGGCTTGACATGCAGTCCTAACTCCAGCCAAGGTCCCATTGAGCCTCAGATCAGGTTGGGCTGGAGGACCTTGTACTCTACAAGGGGAGGAGCTCATGCTGAGGCCACAGCCCCCTCCCCCCAGGCCTGACTGCACAGCTCAGGCACGGATTCCCTGGCACCCGTACCCTTTCAGCAGCCATGGTCACTGAGGTTCTGGTGCAGGGCTCCACTCAAGGAAGGTGTGTCCCCCCAATGCCCTGCTCAGGAGGCACCCAGGACCCACCCCACAAGGCCAGGGCCCCGGGCTTTGGGACAGCAGAGACAAACTGGCAGCGTATTTAGCGGACGAGTCCAGTGTCATTGTGAGAATACACAGTCCATTTACTTTATTTGGGGATTTGTACAGTCCAGCCAGTGAGAGGGAGACAGAGGCTTGCACAACTAAAGACACATACATGGTGGGGACTTGTCCCAGGTACTAGAAACCGTTTTTTTTTTTTTCCCCCCTTTTTTTTTTTGGTTAAAGAGAAAAAAAAAAAATCCATATAATCAATATCCCACTCATGATAAGCACAAGCGGGATAGAAAAAACTTGATTGTGTCTTTAATATGGCATTTATGTATATCTTCTCATTTCATATGTACAATTTATTTGGTAATACTACCGCCCACCGGCAGAATACCTAAAAGTAAAAACAAAATTAGGAAGGCAAAGTATTCACAAAGGAAGTGCCAAGGCCATGGGGGTCTGTGGAGCCGAGTCAGTGGAAGCAGACGGTGTGCAGAAAGGCCCGGCTACAAAGACGCTCCACGGAGGTGGGGAGTCCATGGGGGTCCACGGCACCATCAGTAGAAGCAGACAGTGTGCAGGAAGGCCCGGCCACTCTTCTCCTCAAACTCCTGCAGCAGTTCATCAATCTCGTTCTCCATGTCCTCTGTGTGCTGGATCTGCAGATGGCAGAGCCAGTGAGCGTGTGAGCCACCGAGCACCCACAACTCCACGGCCCTGGGTGTGTCCCTCGCACAGCGGGACCCCCAGCCCTGCCCTGGTGAGCCAGGGTAGAGGGAAGGTGGGTGTAAGACCACCCACAGGTGGAGGCCATCATGGCAGGCACCAGAGACACCAGGGCTGCCTGGTCTGGGTGGCAAACCTCACACTGTGTTAGACAACATCTGGGACTGTCCCATGTCAGGGATGAGTGAGCCAGGGTGTGGTAAGGCCATCACCCAAAGAAGCTGGCCAAGCCTGGACCAAGAACCTGTATCTCCTCATCCAACTTAGAGAAACTGACGTGACCACTGTAGTCCAGCTGCACAGCACATTTCAGACCCGTGGGCACCCCCACATTTACTTTAATGTTTTTAAGTGAGCCATGTGATGACCGCTCTCCTCTGAGCCCTCACGCTCACAGGAGGGCCACGTTAGCTCTTTTACAGAAGAAGCACCTGCGACTCAGGACCTTGGCAGACAGGAGCTGGAGCTTGAGCAGGGGACGGCATGGGGTCTAGGTACACTGGTACTCACACACTGGCACAGCTCACAGATGAGGAAGGCCCCCAGGGTGGCCTCCTCGTGGTTGTCCTGGATGTCCACATTGATGACATGTACAGGCTGGCAGGTCTCCTGCTCCCGGGAATTCAGATCTGATGGGACAGAGTCATAGAGACCGAGTCAGGGAGGCACCATCAGGCCCAGGAGCACCCCTCCTTACATCTGTCCCCCGGCCAGGCCTCAGTTCCTGGCATGAAATCTGGCCTCTGGAACACAATTAGCACCCAGGTATCAAACTAGAACCCCCAAAACCCCCACCTCAGGAATGCAAGATTCAGTGACTGTGGTGGGGATTCTCGGACCCCTCCCACCTCCAGCCAGTCCCAGGTCAGGCAGGAGGTAAGCATGACTTGGCCTGGCTAGCCTGCTGCCTTCCAGTGGACTCAAAACCCCAGCTACACACCGGTAGTGGTCAGGCAGACTTGTGGCTGTGGGAGGCCCATGAGGCCTTACTCTTGCCCACAGAAGCCCAATGGTGGCTGGGTCCTGGAAATCCTTGTGAGCCTGGCAGGCACGCTGGAAGTGCTGGGGTCCCAGGAGTGCTGGAAGCGGCTGTTGACAAGGGGACAAGGCCCCGATGCCCCCTCAGCCCGTTCCTGCTAAGCAGCCCCTACCGGAGGGACCTGGCCCATGTGGTGGATCCTGGGCCTCCTGCCTACCTTCCACTACCTGGTCGTAGACTCGCTCCTCGCAGGTGAGGATCAGATCAAACAGGTCTTTACAGTTCTGAAACCTTTCCGGCCGGGGCTTGATTCTCTTATTTCTGTCCAGCATGTGTAAGATGCCATTCTGTGTGTAGCTGGGCACCGGTGTCAAGGAACTTTACATGAAAGCTTTGGGTTTCATTAGTTGAATATAGGGTCCTTGTGTCTCCAGTCCCGGGCCTTCCCTCCTCACCTCACCTGCCCTGCTCACTGGCTGTGGAGTCGTCCCACATCATCAGTGGGGGGCAGAAAGCCAACAGAGGGGCCATTTTTTGGAGGGGGCCAGTCCCTGTGCTCAAGCTTAACTGATGGGGAGTCACTGCTGGCCCCAGGCCGAGGGTACAACCACTAGCAGCAGACAAGCCCACTTCAGCCTGGTCAGGCTGCTGCCCTCCAGGACCACAACACCCCAACCTCACAGGAAGCCAAGGGACCACCTGGTAATGATTTCTAATGGGCCACCTGTCTTTCTCTTGCTGACAGCTAACTGAATCACCCTGGCCCAAGGCCACGCAAAGAGCTGCTCACTCTGACATCAGACCCCACTCTGACATCAGACCCCTCAGTGGAGACAGACTGGATGCAAGACTAGCCAAGTTACAACATAAACAAAACAGAAAACCCATTGACGAAAGAAAGGACCTGAAAACTGGCCATCAGTGTCGTCAACCACCCAGCCAGGAAGGCGTCCAGGAGGGAGGGTCTCCGCTTGCTGGAGGGTGGTGAGGAGAGTTGGCCTGGCCTCAGCACTGAGGCCTAATGGGGTCTGCTGGCTAACAGGACCATCAGGGCTGACTGAAGCGTTCAGACAGACACAGCAGTGTGCTCTGGGCCAAGTCAGGGGGACCTGAAGTTCAGGGAGACCTAAGCTGGAAGAGGCCTTCAAGGCAGGGCCACAGGCTCCACCCAATCCTAAAGGGCCAGGTCCAAACTTGGGGTCCCAAGGGAGGGGCTCATCTCCCCCAAAGGGGTCCCCAGGGATCAAGGCCCTACACCACAATAGTCCCTGCAGTCTTTAGGGGCCTATGTGAGGCTCATTCCAGGAAGTCAGGGCCGACATCTCCTTAGCCTACATTGTTGTTGTTACATGCCTTGAGTCGGACCTGACTCA